GGGGGGCAATACATTTTTCAGCTGTCATTACTTCGATTTAAAGCGAACGGGAATAAAATGAAAAAATAACAAATACTGATATCACCTGTATACTAATATCATTATTACTAAAAATGTACTGAAAATCTGTTTGAAATATATGGTGATTTCTTATTTTGAGTAATTCCATGAATATATTTTAGTTGTTATGTACATGTATTACTTTAGTGCCATATTTAGCCAAACTCTTGTAACTTATGTTGTGCTTGTTTTGACCAATAAAATGTCCTACAAAAATATGTTAATTTTCTATTCAATTAAAGAGGTTCCACATTGTTTATCATATTTATCTAACTGCAGTTAGTTATTGGTATTTATTTTTCATCAAAAAGTGAATGAGCTGATAGAAGTTTTTCTTTTTAAAAGTATCTCTATTAAGATAAAGAAGCAAAATATGTTGAGGGGTTGTTGAAATTCTTTGTACCATATGTTTATGAAACTCGATTGATTCACACTATTAAGCCGACATTAGCAAGTTTCATTCTCTTGTTGAGTGCCATTACTTCAGTACCTTTTACTATAACACCCGATATCTTTCCAAAATCTCTTCCAAAAGTCTTGGTCAAATCATTCTTGGATTGAAACTTGACTGCTTATTTTGGTATTCTTATTTCAATAGCAATAACAAGATGTGTGTTTGTGTTTAAATTAGAACTGTAACAGATCAATTGATTTTTTTATCAAATGTTGATCTGATAGCAAACCATCCCTTTATAAGTATAGGGGTAAATAATAATAACTTATAAAATATCCCGATGATCTCCAAGAATTATGACATGAAAGCCTTTTGAGCAATATTGCCGAGGATGGTATTACTTATAAATTATAAATTTAAAAATAAAGTAATTGCTTTAAAAGAATATTTTCTGAGATAATCCATGGAATAGTGTGCTATGATATATCTGGAAAGATATGCATATCTATGAGATCATGGTTGTTCTTAGAAATCAGTCCTTATGATTATTTATTTTTTTCCAGTTTATACATGTATATTTGATTGTCTGAGACTCGGTGCGATTATTTGGTTGTCTTACTAACGATTTGACAACTAAAAAAATCACCTATTTGGTTGGAGATTTCTATTTCTGTGTCTCACCCTCCAGGTAGGGGTATATTCTCTATTATTAATCAACACATCAGATTTGTTTAAAGTCCATAGACAAGAACATTTTCATAAAAGCTGAAGGCCAGACAAGGTTGATCAGTGTCTTCAAATATTGAAAAGCTGAATGTCTTACAATTCTTTCATTAATCTTAATCCTGCCAGGACATGCTAACTGACTATATTCAAATATATATATTGCAAATTCTGGTTAAATATTTAAAGTCTATCACTTTTTTTCTTGTGTAATAATACAACTAGTCTAGTAACAATTGTACAACTATATAAAAAACAGCTAGAAAGCAATAATTCTCTAAACAATGTATGATTATTAAAATAAAGAATTATTTAGGCTAGAAGTAACACTACATCTTCGTTTCATCCGCAGTACGGTGATAATTATGATCTCGCAAATGAGAGCGTTTATTAGTTTTATTACGCTACCGTCGAGGATGCGGCGCTGCAGTCGCATTGTTTACAACACCAAAACGATGGAAGTTCAAGCGAACGTATGTTTGAAGTAGGTCAATTAGGTCTACATACATGTACTAGCCCACACAGATTAAACATTAGCAGACTATCACTAGTCGACACCAAGGGACCCTTCATATCATTATAGATGGTCATTTCTGTCTAGTGTGTATTTACCAAGCTGTTTTAATCCCCTTCATTTGTTTGATTAAATGAACATTGTGTGTACCTAATAAATCATTCAACACTGTTAGCCATATCGACAAACACCAAGCCTCCCAATAATGTGGACGCTTCTATGTTGCTATCCTCAACAGTCCATAGTCATACCGCTATGGAGCTAAACGTAATCAATCTCAATGTGACACCCTCGATCTAAACGTGTTTGTCAGATAATGCAGGGTACTCTCCGATATACGATACCCTTTGAAGTTGCATAATTACAACAGAAATGAATCTATGAAGCTAGCTCTGATCTGTCATTTGAGAGTAGATTACCTAGCGATGATCTGTCAGTTGAGATCAGATTACCCATTGATGTAAATGTATTGGAAAACAGACATGGCCACTTTTTAAAATTCTGTGTTGCTATGATGTCACTTAGAGTAATGAGTTATATCTGTTTAGCGTACCTTGCTGATTAAACCTCAGATATACAGAACAAAAAAATCTTCTAAAACATGTATAAACTTAAAAATGGTTTATCCAGTAAGTCAGTTACAGAAAATTTGTAAAAGTAAAATCATTTTCACAAATTCATGTCAAGTTGGTTCCTGCCCACGTTTTAATATGACAGAGGCATTACTAAGACAAAGGCACTTTTCCTACCAAGGAGAGGACAGCAACACTGCACAAGTGATGTCCCTTGGTATCAAATATAGGGTGTTCATTTTGATATCAAGACACCTGGATTACTCCCCTTTATGCAGTCCAAATGCGAAGTGGAAACGTTTTGATACTAAGATACCCTTGATAACCTCCCTTTGATAAATTATTATTAAAAATGTCAGTCTTACTGTAGGCACGACTTTACTAACATTGTTTGTGAACTCCCGTGGACATGATAGAGGTAAAAATCATAAAAACGATTTTATGTAAATAAAATATAAACAAATATGAACTTTTATCAATCATTTGGAGGCTACGTAATGTTATGTACACGGTGCATGAATTCTGCAAGATGAAGTTACTTAACCGTTAACATTACATATCCAGCACACACACAGGCATCCACACATAGGGAGATATTAGCCAGGTGGCATAGGACTACTAGTTAGCGCCTGAAAAGGCATATCCTGCTAATTCCTCAATCATTGTACTGAGATACAATGTAGCTAGATAGGGCGCTATATTAAATGTTGTATATTATTATTATTATTGTTATTATTACCAACCCTATGTATATCGTGATGATCCAGATTAAGCTTAATTCAGTTTGTGTTTATATATCTATCCTGTCATATGTTATGTTTGAGATAGAATATGTACCTTGCAATCCAATTAAAATACCTTAATTTTAATTTACCTTAACTTTAGCTGTTGTGTTGTCGTTCCGATACTAACTTATGCATAGAATTGTAGCATATTTTTATAACTATATACATTTATGCTATCAAATATCTATATATACATATGTATTCTTAGGTGTGATTTAAGTTTAAACTTTATATGTCGCAAATCTTTTTAAATACATTTCAGAAAAATATTTATCCTAGTAATCAAATTATTTACATAAGGCTATTATTTTGCTTTTCAAAAAAAAAAGTCATGTAATGCCTATGACATCCTGATGACTGAGAATTGTTTGCGTGCAAATCCTTCACTATAAGGCCCCCTGCTATTCTATCACTCAATGCTTAACCGTTAATATTTTGCTAAATCCTCACACTGTTGATGGAGGTCCACCATTTGGTATCTATAACCGATATTTGGTAGAACACTCTCTATTCAAATCCCAACACGCTTCATGTATTGGTTGTTAACGCAACACAGGCTCAACACTGGACACTGACGCCATATATATACCAGATGTTTATTTCAATCAATCAACAGCACCAATATATTTACAACGCTCGTCAACACATGAAATCAAAACATGACAGACAAGAAAAACAATATTCAGCTTAAGCAGATTTGTTTTCAGTTGATATAGATGTTAACTGTATAACTCTTCAAATATAAACCAAATACACGCATGTCCCCTCACTCGACAATTCGTCAAAGACACGTCATACATGTGAACACCCATTATTGTTACCCCACCCATTAGAGTAGCCCGGTTACACTTAGTGAGTACAGATGCAACTAATATTTTAACTTTTTGAAGGTTTATAAAAGAGGTTGATGATGTCGATACATTTTCATCATGAGACGTACGTGTAACACTTTAAGAAAAAAACTTCTTTTTCAGTCAAAGCTCACTTTCAGAGCGGGAATGGTAACACTTCATGCCGGCAAAACTATCGTCATGTACGGCCATAACAGTTCAAGATGTCTCGTTTAAACGACTTTTCAAATATTTCGTTACAGCAAGGACTTACTATCAAGATCTACAATCTCAATATAAACTCAAGTATGAATACCGTTATTAACAGCCATTCATTTAAAGGATGGGTAATCTGCCTGTACGTTCGGACCAAATACCTTTACATCTACCATTACCGAGATTTTACATAATGGAAAGGATATTTTGTTTTTGCATTTTTATCTCACATGCATTTCCATTTAACGTGGTATTCTTAGCGCACATGGGAATCATGTGACCTATTGCAACCGTCTTTCTCTGTCATCCGTTAACCTTAAAATCAAGTTCTACGGATAGAATATAATTAAAAACATTGGAGTCTTGTTTCGATGTAACATGTATAGAAGCGATTTGCAATCCAATTAGCTAACATGGCCAACATTTTGAAACCCTTTTAAACTTAAAATCAGTAAATTATGAAGTTTATTTGATGAATTTTTTATTCAAATGATGATCTTATGGTTTTGACCAAAATCCGAGTGATATAACTTTCCGTTATTGTTGTGACTTTTACAATGCCTGTTCATCTTTTGCCATTTATTTAGCTCATGAATACCATGCGAGCGTTAAGGTCCATTAGGCTTCTTTTTAAAATCGTGAAAATAATTGATTTTTTTTTTAAATAACTAGAAACATATTTATATACTGGCTTCCATATCGCACCTAACATCGCGTAAGTTATGAACACTGTACATTAATCTTTAACAAATACTCTTTAAAAAAAAGAAATGTCAACTGCTATGGTAACCCATGTTTCAATAATGGTTACATCTACACCTACTATTGTAACCGGGCTAACTTGTTTAGATTGACATTAAGGGAAGGCTTTTAGAAGATTTGTTGATAAATAATAGTGTAAACGGGCTAACTTGTTTAGATTGACATCAATGGAAGGCTCTAGAAAGATTTGTTAGTAAATAATAGTGTAACCGGGCTAACTTGTTTAGATTGACATTAAGGGAAGGCTCTAGAAAGATTTGTTAGTAAATAATAGTGTAACCGGGCTAACTTGTTAAGATTGACAGCAATGGAAGGCTCTAGAAAGATTTGTTAGTAAATATTAGTGTAACCGGGCTAACTTGTTTAGATTGACATCAATGGAAGGCTCTAGAAAGATTTGTTAGTAAACAATAGTGTAACCGGGCTAACTTGTTTAGATTTACATTAAGGGAAGGCTCTAGAAAGATTTGTTAGTAAAATAATGTAACCGGGCTAACTTGTTTAGATTGACATCAATGGAAGGCTCTAGAAAGATTTGTTAGTAAATAATAATGTAACCGGGCTAACTTGTTTAGATTGACATGAATGGAAGGCTCTAGAAAAATTTGTTAGTAAATAATAGTGTTACCGGGCTAACTTGTTTAGATTGACATGAATGGAAGGCTCTAGAAAGATTTGTTAGTAAATAATAGTGTAACCGGGTTAACTTGTTTAGATTGACATTAAGGGAAGGCTTTCGGAAGATTTGTTGGTGAATAATAAAAATGCACGCGCATGCATAATTGTTTAATAATATCTGGATATTTTACCATTAAAAATTTCGTTTCATCATCGACATAGTAGACTTTGTATAATAACAATAAGCAGTGTTTGCGAAAATGCTAACACTGTGTATTCGTTGTGGAAAAACAATATGTTTGACCATGCAAAATCAAAGTGATATAATGATGAAAAGTCTACATAATTCGCAGTATGAAAAAGTGTATTCATAATAACCTTCCAAATGGAACTCACAGTCACAGTATCTTTACGAAAAGCTTTCTGTGAAATTGTATTGACTTTGAATAAAGTCATGGTTTTTGTAATTAATATATGTTAATCATAACATCAAAGTACATGTCAATAAGAAAAAATATAATTATATTAAGCATATTTTACACTCTTAATTCTATTTGTTTGTTATCTTACTTGTAAAATGTTAGGTTCATTATCAGAATTCTTATGTAATGAAAATTTCCATAATTGAATATTTTTCATTAACATATTTTCAAAATGACTATCATCCAAAGTATTTTGCTCGTTAGGAGTCGTTTCACAAGAAATGGCGCGCTGTCGGATGTAATGTTTGGTGAAAGATGGCACGGTTATGGCTCCCGAGCTGGAGAATAAACTGTCTGTGTCATCTGTGACGTCACCGGTGATTAGGGACGGGTCATCATCCGCAATCTCGTCCAACCCTGAAATGTGCCAATGTGGATAAAGTTCAACCTAACACTTTCAACTTTGTGCATCGAACTAAAAAAAATACATTAATAAAATACTACAATTTGTTGTAATACTCAAAGATGTTTCACTACATAACGTTACAGTTAATGTTCTTGTGATAAAACGTCAAAATACCTGTATATTCGATAAATTAAGAAATTCAAAAGCACTTCCATTGCTAACATACAGTGTGTTTTTGCTATGCATGATCATTCCGATACAGTGTTTATATATTTAAGTATTTCGTTCAATTGGAAGATGACTAGCAATTCATTTTGATAATCGTCAATAAACAGAAATGTTCAGTAAGCCTTTGCTACGACAGAGAGATTTAACGTTTATCGACATGTTAATATCAATCAACATTTCTTTCTTTGTTAATAGTATTTTTAGATGTTTTGGTGTGTCATGCTTTCTTTAAAGATCATTGAAGTGATATGAATATTATCATCAAATCAAGTTCTTTTCTTTCAATTATTTATGTAACTTTCACATGAAATAATTGCTAGTCTAACACAGTGATGAAAAAGTTCCATTTCTTCCATTGAAAAATGGTTTTATGAAGCTTTAACATATTCTTCAATGGAAATAAAACAGACCGTACCTTCCATACTGTCCCCCATACTAGTAGCGGTAAATGTCCGCGGTGCCCCGCAATAGTAAGGCACGCTTTGCTGACGGACAAGCGGCGTTCGTCTGCTCGTTGCCCTCCAGACATCTGTCGGCCGCATAGTTTGGGGTTCATCTGCTTCGTCGTCTTCATCACTCCGAATTTCCTTGGCACGCTGATACATCGCCTGGATGACGTCATTGATGTTCACAAGCTGTTTCAGGAGCTTTACATCCTGTCGTCGCATAGAAATCTACCGAGAAGGAAACAGTTTAGATCAGATCGCGTCATAAAAATCTACAGATAGAAATACAATAAGGTGTATATCACCTGAAAGAAACCGTCAAACAGAAGCATAAGTCTGCGGTGTATGGACGTCGTCTAATTATAAAGGAAAACCTATCAGTTTAGATGAAGTTTTGTCATATAGAAATCCGCAGGCAGTGATATTACTCATGGTGTGTGTCGTGTTACAGCAAAAGGCAAAATATGAGGCATTAATTTGTTGTCTTGACAGTCTACTAAATAAACAAAGTCAAGTCATCTGAAAAGAAGAATTAATAGATTGAATCAGGATTAGGATGTTTTGTTATTTTTTTCGTACGATTTTACATTGTTTGAACCTTAAAGCGGCATTTTTATATATTATCAGACGACAATTACAATCAGTGGGAATTGTAGTCCCTCGCACGTGATTTGATATTCATTACGCGTGAGTTCATACGTACTTCTGGGATCATAGCAATAGAAAAATCATTACATAGTAATTGACCACTGCTATACATTCTCCTTTCTTTCGCTGAATGACAAAACACGACACACTGCGTTCCATGTCTACATGAATTCAGACAATGTATTTATAGAAAGTTCTTAAACATGTTAATTATGTCGGTGGTTCTGAACTGATGGGGATGTTTAAAGAGCAGCCGATAAGCAACCCAACTGCAATAGCGTAACTCGCCGAGCATCGCCTCTCTAACAATCGACAGGGATTTTGCCCCTCCAATATCAATATGTGCGTATTACTACTTTGGGTTACTGTGCAATTAAGTATGTGTACGTACACTTATGATAGTTCGACATCCTGCTGCGCAGCTATTTGGGTAACATATAATTAGCTATGCCTTTGTAACAACATTAAGGGATATTTTGTCCATGAAACTTTAATCTAAAATGCTGGAATGTCGGTTACATGAACTAAACAATTTTCTTCTTAGACTTCGTTAAGAGATCATGAAAATAATCATGAGGCTTATGATATTTGTAAATATTCGTTACATTAGCAATCTAAATTATAATGATTACACGGAGACATACAAAAGTGTCACGTTTTAGCGAAGTTCCTGATAACAACTCATCTATTTAATATTGAGGCATTTCACCGCCTATGTGATGGTCTACCCAAGGATTTAGTTCCTGTATCGGTTACCACACATTTGTTTGGTTTGCTGTACCTGGTGGTATCTAAGCGTTGCTATGTGCATCACTGTTTGCATCAAACGCAAATGTGCATATACTGTATTATGAATAATTGTTACAATTGGAAAAAGTTAAAAGAAACATCCCCATGGATTTCTAAAAAAAACACCAATGAGCTTTATTCTTTGTATGTTGATTGTATTGTTACCTGAATGAACCACAAATTATACAAAACACTTATTTTTTGTTTGATAGAAAAGTAAATAAAATACAGTAAGTTAAGTGATGTTTAATGACGTGAAGCGACATTCATGTACAGGTTTGATTTTCAAAACTAATAAGAGCGCTTAGAGTAAACTCATATGAGTGTTTAATACTTGTAAACAGTGATATGATAATGTAATTTTGAATAGTGCTGAGTGTAAGCAAGTATGTTTCCGACAGGTCTTTATAATATATATGTAAAACAACAGCAAATGGAAAACTCCAACAATGGTAATTTGCAGGCGGACCATATGTAATAAAATCGTTTAAACTCCCGACAACAATACACCGCCAGGGGTCGCGTCTGTTCCTATTGTACATGAAAATCAAAGACAATCGAATAATAAGGAGACAAGCAGACCTAAAATCCGACAATATTTTGTCCTATAATCATAGAATATTCATGGAAGATTGAAATGTTAGAATATATAGGAAAGCATTCATTTAAAAAAAAATATTATAACAAAAATACAATTTCAAAATGGAAACTGAACTCGTTCATCTTAATAAGGTTTTATCAGAATATGTATATCTGTTATTGTGATATATAATACGGTGACGACAGTACGAAGGCTGCGTGCTTATGATTCAACGTATAAAGGCACCTGTTTCGTGCTTATAACAGACAGCAATTACAGAAAAGGCAAATATGTTTCGCAATCGACTTTTAGCAGCAAGATAACTATGTGCAAAATCATTCATTTATATAATTGAAACCGAGGTTTCCAACCAAAAAGTGAAGCACATGTTAGTTTTTTGGTGTATGTGTCTAATAAGTCTTGTAACAATAACAGGTTACATTCTGCGGTAACATATCCATATCATTGATTTGTATAAAGTGTCTGTATCTTATGTAGAGAACTGTGAGATATCATTCAAAAAGTGGCAAAATTAAACATCCCTTAGAACAGATCCCTGTAGTGTTGTCTTCTGTCAGTAATCGTAAGTACATGTTAATTAGGGAGAGAACGGTACAAGCATTATTCTTTTAGTATAAGATGTTTTGATATGATAATATGAAAATCTTTGTTCCATGCAAATACAAAAACGAAAAATTGCTTCATCATACTCGTGTAATTGTCATAATTAATAGCACGTGAGGTAAAATAATTAATTAAGCATTCTAGAATACATAAGATGCCATCAGGGACGTAGTAGTCCTCGTTATACCGTGAAACACGGGTGCCCGGTTAAAGGGTAAGGGAATAAAGTTCCATCAACTGATACTTAATAACAAGAAGCTTTCATTCGTTATCTACACACGTCATCATACCTCTTCTATATGGCCTATATCGTCAGAGATTTGAAAAGGTTAATCTATTAAATGTCGAAAATAATGAGCTTTTTGTGTATTTTTAATATTATAATAACAACCCAATGTATTCACCTATTTGCTAGAGAAATTAGTCATATAAATCTGGTGTATTCCTGTTCTTCAGCGTGGGAATACATAACGGAATTCCTTAGACTTAAGAGAGAACGTGTTTTAATTTAGGCGTGTCGACATTGCATTTCAATTTCCCCAACGTAAACATTTGTGTTTTTATATAAACATAAAAAAGACTACTCTGGAGCCCGCCGAAACCTTACTAAATTCTATGTTTTTATGTACGTCAATGTGTAAAGATATGAGAAAATGTTTTATAACTACTTTGGTTTATGGTAGAGATATTTATCAAAAAAGTATGAACCATACGAAATAGCTGTTTGCAGTTTAGCATACAAATATGTCGAAATAATTGATAGTAAGTATAACACAAAACGAATACTTCACACGTTGGTCTAAAAAAACATAGTGACTAGGCGAATTAGTATTTTCGTTCCATTACCACGACCACTGGTCAGTAAATGGCCAGCGGCCAGTATATTAATAGTGAAGTTGAAAACGAACTGGCGTCTTGTTCATATCACTTAACATGTTCATTAGAACAAACAGTACATTCCAAAGAAGGATCAACAAGTTGGTCGACTGGTATATATTTTTCGCTGCGTGTTAATTAAATAATGTAAAAATCACAACCAATGTCGATTCCGCCCTAGCCTGTTTTTTGGGGTTTTAACACAGATAAACTTGGCAGTGCACCCACAGCCGTTGCGAAATCAGCAGACACTGACCCACATAGTGTTAATTGCTCCGTGGAGACTGCCAAAACACTGCCTTAAACATTAGAAACTAAACACTGTTTCGGATACTTCTACTAATTACATGGGGATGTTTTGATGGTTTTGCTTTACAATTTTTGGGGAACACTGTAGGGTTGTATTATTCACAAAGAGATGCGTTGGTTACTTACCCATTCATTACGATAGGCTATTTGCTCTTTAAAATAGAGCCACAACATATCATAGATATTTTAAATACTAAAATACACATTACCTTTCATTTTGGTCCATCAATTGCAAGAAATATCTTGTTTAAAATAGAAAAATAACTGCGAAGTTTGAAAAACATGCTAAAAATGGCAATATAACAAATTAAAATTGCTTTCGTTCGAAAGTTCAACTCCCTTTTTTTAATCCTGTTTATGTGCGAAATTAGCTATATTAATCGCTCATGAGGGGAAAAACAATACCTCACTATGACAGTTTATTTTTTTTACTATGGCACTATTCCATATTGTATAGCACATTTTTTTCTTTTAAAATGTTGATATTTTTATGTTTTAAATATATCAACCTCACATATCAAACTCCCTTAAAATATCATAATTTGCCATGAAAACAAAAAAAGGAACACTCAGCGCTGAACGGAAGTATGTAGTTCAAAATGGAAACCTGTCTTCTGATATTTGTTTTTAACACACTTACGATACTTCATTGTTGGGTGACGCCTGATACTGTGTAGCGTAGGAGCCTACATAGAAAGATAATGCCGCACGCGTTACTGTTATAATGATGAATTCGGTTTGCGTTTTTGCAGCAAAGACTACGTAGATATAAGTGTGTCGTCCTTGAAATGTGCATAGCATGCCAGTTCCTTCTTCAACAGAAGTGGTTTCTGGCAATAACTTAAACACTGACAGCTTTATAATTATTGTTTATGGTTGTAGTGAAGATCTTTTGTTATGAGCGAACATCCTATCTTGTTATATATTGACATACAATTTGCTTACTTATCCAACGTATCTTTACTTTCAACGGTGGTTATGTGGGGCCACTACCATCGTTTTGGTATGTAATAGTCACAAGTATAATACCAGTCTTGGTATCGGTTTCTATAGCGATAAAGGTTATACCACATTCGTTGATCATAAAGATATAGTTTATCGGTGTTAATCAGTTTGGTGGTTATGTAACCAACATAAGTAGCAGCCTGCACATTTATGTTACATCGTATCGCACCCCACTGACGAGCAAACACTACAGATTTAGTGATACAAACCACATGTTAATACAATAAGGCAGAGCCGACATGCGTTTTGTACGACACTAGCTGTATAGTTAATGGATTATACAATCAGCTTTGTTGCTAAAGTACATCTGTATTAGATTATTTGATCGATGTGGGTAATTTTTCTTTGGAAAAAGTGAGGTTTTGTCACATGATTGTGTTTTTTGAAAGTGTAAACCATTGGCACGCAAACCTTAAAGTGCCAGTGATAGTTTTGTAAACAATGATTTTTGTTCCGAAAGTGAAACGTTTTTCTATTATTTTTTATTGTTACATGTGGCATTATTGCGCAACACGACCTTAAGATACTTTGTGACGTCATATTTGCGTTATGACATTAAGTCTTATAGTGACTTTTTACTGATCGATGAAAACAATAAGTGTTACTAATGAAAATCGATATAGATGTATAGTGCAACATGATACCCACAATTAGCACATTCTCACAAGTGTACGTCTAATAACGTGGATACAAACACGTTCATTATAATTAGCCTAAGATTACTTTAAAGAAACTGATGATATTTGAAAAGGTATTAAAAATAATGTTTTCGATTGTCTTTGGTATGCATGTACAATAGGAACAGACGCGACCCCTGACGGTGTATTTTGTCGGGAGTTTAAACGATTTATTACATATGGTTCGCCTGCAATACCATTGTTGGAGTTTTCCATTTGCTGTTGTTATACATATGCATCATAAAGAATTGTAATTGTAAAAGAGAAATTAACATTTGAAAGGCATTAGTTGACATCTAGATTTAAGCATTAAACCTGATGAACAGCAACCTATATAAAACAGTCAGGCCTAGTCGGAGCATCAATATACACACACAACAACAGATAGCATCAGAACAGACAATACGTGTGAGCATCATTGATCATTATCCTTCGGCAAATCGCTGACCACAGTCTAGTATTCAATTTCATATGAAGTGCCGTGATCTGTTCGGATCTGAGGTGGATTAGAAGGCATTCGTGCCTTAATGCCAAAATCAATCGTGTCTTTAGCTTTTGTAAGATATCTTGTGATTAAATATCTATTGATTTTCAAATCGGCTTGCATCTATATGCACGCAATGCGATGGAGTATTCTTAAATCTGATAAACGAGAATCAGATTCATCTATCAATGTAAGTATGGTCGTAAGTTGTAATTCATATGTACATTCATACATTGATATATCGCTACCGATCTCAGGTAACCAGCCAATCGTTCCAAACTTTGTATGTCGCTGACACTGAGTATAAAGAACCACTTACAATATTTCATAAAAACATACAATATAACAAATTGATTAAACCAAGCTGCCAAGTACATAATTCCAACGATTTTTTAAATAAACAATTGCACTACAATATACCACTAACATTAACACGTTAACATCGGTGCTTTATTGACAGCTATTTAACAGTAATACTCTATCCCACAAACCAAAATAATCCGATAACATAAAACCGACTATTTTATCTAAACGTTCAAAGTGTATATGGATTCACTAAGGACTCACTAAGCATTGCAATTTAATTCGTTAAGTCTCTTGTATCATTTTAATTATTAGTACAATAAGATAAAAAATCTGTGGAGCCAACTCATCCGGGTACTTACCAGGTCAGCCCTGAGAGTCCGAAGTTTATCGTTGACTTTGTCAACCAGTCCGAGGTAGTCCCTTGACACATTCTCTACTCTGTCACTAAGCTCCATCATCATCTTCATCGGCTGCTGTCAGCCACTGCAGCAGTCTTTTATCAATACTGTCTGTCTCCTTACACTTGTGTTATATATATATATATATAACATGTACACAACGGTCCAAACTCCTCATCTGAACCAACGTCCTATCGCACCCTATTCACTCCAGTTTCCTCCCTATAAATAAACAAACTAGTTAGCATATAGTCACGAAATTAGTCCATAAAATTGTTTATACTAAAGGTTCATCACCATTTAATTAATTAGTCATTCATAAATATATAGAGTTACTTACTATTACCATATATATGTAAAGTCACGGAGTCCGTTGATAAACACGTTTACCCTGATACGTATTACGGTTCAGCAACATCAATAGCAAATTAACCACAAACAGATAACAAAAAACGCTGTTAATTTTCGTATACATGTATGTATGTATGTATGTATGTCAGTGTACTCACGGGCACGCTTATTGCGTGCAGTTATTACGTTACACACGGAGTTGAATGAGCGCCGCCTCCCTCACCTCGTATTACTAAAGCAACACTAAAGGTCACCGGGGGTCATCTAACGGTGATAGTAATGCTTACCATACTCAACGATGTGAAAGAGATAGAGCAAAATTTAAGCATGAATACATGTATGAAATTATAATTTGTCGATTCTGGTATGTGAAGCAGCTGTGATGTAATGCAAAATATACAAGTAAAAGGCATGGTTAGCTTTAACCCTATAACAACATCCTTATGATCAATAACATTATTTTATGAATTTCATTTGATATAGCCAAAATACAATATAATGGAGTTAATTTATATTACATAATACTAATCTTAAAGATAACATTTCCTGTCGTCTATAACTGTACAGAATAAATGCTGACAAAGAAACGTCTGCGTCCTTGTGTTCTGTTATACAGCCTCAAGCCTTTGAAGAATGTCACAGAAACACGCATATTCCGAGACAATTTGATGTAAACAAATACACATGTCCTGGATATTGTTTTTTCTCATATAACATCGCATTGACCTATTTTTTTATTTGGTTTTCCTATAAAGTATCAGACGTTATCATGATATACAAGCAGAAACGTAGTCCGCATCTCCTTATCTTTTACTTTCCATGCGCAAGTAATTATCGAGATGTAGGCGTAAATGTAATCTAAAAATGGTATTCACATATGTATTCCATGTAAGTAGGATAACATAAAATATATATATTTTCTGATTTTCTTTCACAAACTTCATTCAAAGAACAGCAATTTATATATATATAATATATCACAGCAGCAATACACAAAGACATAATCATAACTCATAGAGGAACTAAGGAGACACAAGGCGGGAATACACAAACTAAACATAAGAAATCAATAGAAACTAAAGAGAGACTCGGCGGGAATACATAAAGACATAATCAGAAATCAATAGAAACTAAAGAGAGACACGGCGGGGATACGTAAAGACATAATCAGAAATCAATAGAAACTAAAGAGAGACTCGGCGGGGATACGCAAAGACATAATCAGAAATCAAAAGAAACTAAAGAGAGAAACGGCGGGGATACATAAAGACATAATCAGAAATCAATAGAAACTAAAGAGAGACACGGCGGGGATACGCAAAGACATAATCAGAAATCAATAGAAACTAAAGAGAGACACGGCGGGGATACGCAAAGACATAATCAGAAATCAATAGAAACTAAAGAGAGACACGGCGGGGATACATAAAGACATAATCAGAAATCAATAGAAACTAAAGAGAGACACGGCGGGGATACATAAAGACATAATCAGAAATCAATAGAAACTAAAGAGAGACACGGCGGGGATACATAAAGACATAATCAGAAATCAATAGAAACTAAAGAGAGACACGGCGGGGATACGCAAAGACATAATCAGAAATCAATAGAAACTAAAGAGAGACACGGCGGGGATACATAAAGACATAATCAGAAATCAATAGAAACTAAAGAGAGACACGGCGGGGATACATAAAGACATAATCAGAAATCAATAGAAACTAAAGAGAGACACGGCGGGGATACATAAAGACATAATCAGAAATCAATAGAAACTAAAGAGAGACACGGCGGGGATACATAAAGACATAATCAGAAATCAATAGAAACTAAAGAGAGACACGGCGGGGATACATAAAGACATAATCAGAAATCAATAGAAACTAAAGAGAGACACGGCGGGGATACATAAAGACATAATCAGAAATCAATAGAAACTAAAGAGAGACACGGCGGGGATACATAAAGACATAATCAGAAATCAATAGAAACTAAAGAGAGACACGGCGGGGATACATAAAGACATAATCAGAAATCAATAGAAACTAAAGAGAGACACGGCGGGGATACATAAAGACATAATCAGAAATCAATAGAAACTAAAGAGAGACACGGCGGGGATACATAAAGACATAATCAGAAATCAATAGAAACTAAAGAGAGACACGGCGGGGATACATAAAGACATAATCAGAAATCAATAGAAACTAAAGAGAGACACGGCGGGGATACATAAAGACATAATCAGAAATCAATAGAAACTAAAGAGAGACACGGCGGGGATACATAAAGACATAATCAGAAATCAATAGAAACTAAAGAGAGACACGGCGGGGATACATAAAGACATAATCAGAAATCAATAGAAACTAAAGAGAGACACGGCGGGGATACATAAAGACATAATCAGAAATCAATAGAAACTAAAGAGAGACACGGCGGGGATACATAAAGACATAATCAGAAATCAATAGAAACTAAAGAGAGACACGGCGGGGATACATAAAGACATAATCAGAAATCAATAGAAACTAAAGAGAGACACGGCGGGGATACATAAAGACATAATCAGAAATCAATAGAAACTAAAGAGAGACTCGGCGGGGATACATAAAGACATAATCAGAAATCAATAGAAACTAAAGAGAGACACGGCGGGGATACGCAAAGACATAATCAGAAATCAATAGAAACTAAAGAGAGACACGGCGGGGATACATAAAGACATAATCAGAAATCAATAGAAACTAAAGAGAGACTCGGCGGGGATACTTATGTACGCAAAGACATAATCAGAAATCAATAGAAACTAAAGAGAGACACGGCGGGGATACATAAAGACATAATCAGAAATCAATAGAAACTAAAGAGAGACTCGGCGGGGATACATATGTACGCAAAGACATTATCAGAAATCAATAGAAACTAAAGAGAGACACGGCGGGGATACGCAAAGACATAATCAGAAATCAATAGAAACTAAAGAGAGACACGGCGGGGATACATAAAGACATAATCAGAAATCAATAGAAACTAAAGAGAGACACGGCGGGGATACATAAAGACATAATCAGAAATCAATAGAAACTAAAGAGAGACACGGCGGGGATACATAAAGACATAATCAGAAATCAATAGAAACTAAAGAGAGACACGGCGGGGATACATAAAGACATAATCAGAAATCAATAGAAACTAAAGAGAGACACGGCGGGGATACATAAAGTCATAATCAGTAATCAATAGAAACTTAAGAGAGAGACGGCGGGGATACGCAAAGACATAATCAGAAATCAATAAAAACTAAAGAGAGAAAGGCCGGGGATACATAAAACCATAATCAGAACTCATATAGGATCTGAGGAGAAACACGGCGGGAATAAACAATCAAAACATAATCAGAAATCATTAAAGGAACTAAGGAGACACACTGCGGGGATACACAAACAAAACATAATCAGAAATCATTAAAGGAACTAAGGAGACACACGGCGGGGATACACAAACAAAACATAATCAGAACTTATATAGAAACTAAAGAGACACCATATACCAAAATATAAAAAAACACGTAGATGGAGTAGAAAGCAGGTTCATAAGTTTTTAACACGCTTCTGCTGACCAACAACCTAAATAAAACACATGAACCTTGAATTTAGAATACCTTAAGCTCCTATGGTTAGCAAAACACAAACTAATCACTTTAAATGAAAAGTAAGGAAACACAAATTAAATAATGAGTATGGCTATGCACAACAGCTTAATAAAGTTAACATTTTCTTTATCATACTACCATTTTGTTCATCAATAGTAATAAAGGAAACATTCTTTCTTCATGATACATCTTTTATGTCGTATATATGGATATTTTTATATGTTTTAGTTTCTTTCTTTATTATTATTGAACCATGATAAAATTGGTAGCACATTTAATTACATGTCACGCACACCATAAAATAAAAACCACTTAGGCACATTGTAATATTTTGTAGTGAGGGCATATAATTTCGATACTATTATAAATAGTATATAAGTGTTCCCCTGGTAATAGTACTGTATATAAACAGTTCCATATAAGTATAAAACGAGTGATGAGTTAGCATAGTCCGTCTCGTTCCACCTTGACTCACGAGCGTAAAAGTCATGACATTGCAGATTGAAAGGATGAATATAGCGACAATTCCACTTTCGATGTTAATGGCACGGTGATCGGTATCGATAGTTTAATGTATGTTTAGGTATCAGCACCAGATCGTATTCCACTGGGTCGTATTAACTTTGACGACTTAAGGTCATCAGAACGTTGACATCATTGGCACTTAGTAACAAAATCTATAAAAAAAAAGTGAAGGTTGCTGATTATTGTTTCCTTTCTGATTTTCTGATCCCACAAAAAAACATTAACATTATACCTTTAAGTAATAACTTTCTCCTTCCCTTTAATTCTAACCAAGCGCTGTTTCGATATACTTAAATTTAAGCATAATTCAAATGTATACATTACTTTAGATGTGATAGAAATAAACATCATCCAGTTTCCTGTATAGATCAGTTGATATGATTTTGAGATTTCGGGGGAAACATTTCCTATACGACACGTTCAATTCGTTAATCTCGCAGAACAGCAAAATAAAATCCTTATTTAGATGACCAGATTTTTGAAGTGTTTTGGTTATGTTATTAAAACAGTTTTATCTTCCCAAATTATTTCAAAAATCAATATCAGTGACAATTATGTTTTACAGTGTCATTTTGTAATGAAGTTAACGGTGTATTGAGTTTTCATATTAAATTCATAATTTAAAGTAAAGTTTTCTATTTAGTATCGGGTATGTTATGAAAACTATTATACCTTATTATTACGCACTTACCATTTTTATTCTTCAAGAAATGAAGCATTCAAAACTATTTGTAGATTAAACGCATTGCAATAGAATTTGTAAATTTATATGTATTTAATTAACTTTCTAATAATATTTTGTTTCGATTCGACTTAGTGACAAATCTTGGTACCGGGGATACATTATACGGGGAACGATTCATTCGTCATTTAAGTCATCAATTCGCTATTACATTTATTCCATGTTTTTTTTCTGCTGTTGTGAGGAGTTGGTGGTTACTGGTGTCACCCATATTAACTACCATAGACATCTTTTCCATATAAAAGATACTTGTTCTAAAGATAGTAATTTATATTAAATATATCACGTGATGTCTAAAACCTTTTTTTGATTTTATAAATTTCATAAATGCATTGATGCATGCCAATTGCCCTGTTAGACATCTGGCACAAATGGTTTTTTATTTTTTTATTTATATATATGGTGATATAAAGTGAAAGTTTTAAATTTAAAGTTCACACAGGATATGAATGTCAATTTTCTACTATCCATATCCTTCCCACGTTTAACAATACAATTATACACAAATGCCGTGTGATTGTGTATATCCGGATGTTCAGAAAACCTCCTATCTGTGTGTGATATGTATCAGTTAACATGCTACAACGTATATTGTATGTATAATGTCTCTGATGCGTAAATGTTCGTCAGTGAGAGCCAATTTAAAGTTGTCATTCTGTATGCCTGATTTTCTTTTCTTGTGTTAACATGATTTGGACATATACTTAAATACAGAAAAAAACGAATGATACGGATTTACATGTGTAGAAAGAGATTAAAACTTACTAGTATCACCAAAACCAGTAACGGGACTAGTAAATGTGTAAAGCGGAAAGTGACATAAAATGAGTATTACACATTGCCACCGGTAACGACAACCTCAATCCGATAAGTTTTCCAAGTAACCAGACTCCTACAATCAGATATAGTATAAACAACATGCAGTACTTACCACACAGCTCCTGTTTCCAGTCTGCTCGCTATACATACGATGGCATCGGGGACAGAATATTCCTGAAATGATAGATGTGTATATTTATTTTACTAATATTAACAGAAAATGGACGAACTGTTTTATGCTAACAAGAAAGCTAGATGTACAGGTAGCTTAAAAGAAGTGTTTGTACTTAGTCGCGGCCTTTCAATCTCAGTGTTAGTAAACATTATTTGAATACCTTGTCTGTTATATAGAATACACAGCTGGATTTAGGTGTTAGAGTAAACCGGTCACGCGAAAAGCATTGTTAGCATACAATAGAATTAGAAGGTGATGTTTCAATATGATTTTTTATATTGATTTTTTAAAATTTTATTTCGTTAGCGGCCATGTTGATACCAATACACACGTACAGATGTATCACCTTTACACACATATAGGCAATGTTTAAGAATACAAATTGAAGAAGCTGGCACGTATGGTACTCCCTAATATATCTACAGTATAATTATTCATAATACAAGTTGACCACACGTGGCCACCAATTTCCGAATCCTAATCTGTTTACAGGTGAGATAAGTAAACACCGGACGTACAGGTAAAAGAGGCAGACTGTAATTCACAAAACCCCATAGAAAGGCTAGGTAAAGACAGTAAAAGTGTTCTGTTTGGTCACAAAGTCTTACGACTCCCAAAACAAACACAAATTTACTTTTTCGTGCCATAAACCAGCTTACAGATAATGTTGAGTAGTTGCGATACATTTGGGAGTTTAAGTTCAGAACTAATATCGGCCTTCATTCAAAGAGTAAAATGTTATTGAAAATATACAACATTGTCAATACAACAGAATAATCGAAGCTCGAGCCAATTTTGGAGACAATAGCAGGCACCGAAAAAGACACAAAAACAAAAGGAAGGATATCGTGAAACAACTAACATGAATTAGACACAAGGGTAAATGTAAGAGGTTCCTACATTTGTCGACAGCTTCCATAATCTCTCCAGGGAAATATGTAGGCCACCAAAGGTCAACGATACAATGAGCAAGTCCTTAATCCTTTTTTAACACTGACACAATGTTACACCAAAGATGGAAATCTAGCCATGATGACGACCCTGTAATGTCCTTAACGAAGTTCAAGAGGACATAAAAAATAAATGATAGTTTAGTAGTCAGTATTAGGCATCTATCACGATAAACTTGATGCTTTATCAATGCCTGTATGTTGCTTCTGAGGAAAGAAAAGGTAATGTAAACCAAACGACGCCGCGTGTGTCATAATCTTTTCATGTATAATTCATAAAAAAACCTTTTCAAAATATAAGGATTTCTTCAAAGTTATGATTTAGTATTTATTTTTATAATTTCTACAACTTTCTTTCTAAATGGCCTGTCATGGACAACTATCAAAGTAATCAGTAATAGCCATGTTTGTTAAAGTTTTAACAATCATAGCATAATCTGTAACCATACAATACAAATATTGTATGATATGCTGTACGTTATCAAGCATATATGAAACGGTTTTTCTCAATTTGTTTAATAAAAATGCATAAACATGTATTTTGAAATGTCAAACAATTATATTTATGACTGAATTCTTACCTTATGGTGTACAATTTATATCAAGAAAACAATGGTTAAAATCCCATGTAGATAAGATACATCCTTCAATGAAAGATGAAACTCATTCGCATACCGACCCACACTTCCACGTGTACTTAATGAAACACTGTGTATAAAACACAACCTCTAAAGGAAATGTCTCATCGATTTAACAAACGAATGTTTGATCAATGGAAACTTCTTTCACATAATATGTATGAAGTTCATAGTCGAATTTCAAGCTGAACATCCTGATGATTACCACATGGCCCAGTGTTGTTTTCTGTTTATCATCACTACGCCTAGTGTTAGTTTTGGGGCCCTAATAATTGTATTAACCTTTTATATCGACAGGTAACCCATCCATTATTACCAGAATGTTTTTATATAACTTTGCTCTCCAAACGAATTATTGGTATTGGTAAATGCATAAAGGTAAACATATATACCTGGTACGTGGAATCCGTCTGAAGATCCAAACGAGGAAATAATGGAATTACCGATAGTTGATTCCGACTCCGTTTATATGTATGACACAAAGTGTGTATAAAGGTAAACGGAATACATCGATTTTAACAGATTGAATTAATTTTACCGACGCAATGGCACGCTCGGAGGTAAATACATATGGTTTTATAAATGTAGAGGAACAGAGTAGTAGGTGTGTCCATTACAATATGTAGGTAACTTATTTCTGTGTGAGTCATTAGTACTGTACCACATCTATAGATATGTATGTTACATTTCATATAAGTATATTCCCATCAGGTAAATCAAATGTACTCTATATTTGAAAATGAAATGATTGATGTAAAATTAATGTTTAAATCGGATCCTAGAATTTCTTATGAAAATACTAAGTATCGCCTAATGAGGTCTATTCAAACAAGTCAATTGGATAAAAGTACTTACGTTTTATATGAACTGAGGTCATGTCAAATCTATGCCGATATCCGCTACTCAAAAATGTGAAATTCATTGATTTTACCAAGTATGACACATATTTGTACACAAATTACTATTCATCTCCAATACCTTAAAAGGCGTCCGCGACACCAATTTAGCACACTTTGTCTTCAATGCATCAACACAATGAAAAAAAATACCAAATGCACTTGGGGACACGTATTAAGCTTACGTACCGAGCACATACCAAAATAACTCGTTTCTAAGTTTGCTTTCATTGGAGATGCGAAGGAAATATGATAAACCACATATGTAAACTCACTTTATATCATGACTGTATCGAACGCAAACCTATCGATCAAAAAAGTCATAGAAGCATTATATATTATATACATATTTAATATTTAACCACCAATTGATAAATGTTAGGACTAGCGGCATCCTCGTGCGGTCGTAATAAGTGACTCACTCAAGTCATCTAATGTGTAACTTCTAAATTCATAAATATGTGCTATACTTAAATATTTAATTATTTTGTTACATATTTAAATAAAGATTAAATAATCTACAGTGACAGTCTGGTACTGTTAATTTCACGAAATACTTTACTAGATGCTATTCTCCATCATTTGACTTACGTATTCATAATTATTCATATTAATTTATATATCATAATAGAACTCCTACCCGTTTTTACTTTCAGTCAAGTTTCCACCTTCCTTTGAATTCAGGCGATCACATCTAAGTACCGACCTATTCCTGTGATATTGTCATCCTTGCTTTGACGTCGTCAGAAGTATTCTCCGTGCGAAGGGACGCTAGTGACTCTGTCGATGTCGGCGTCTGGTAAGTTGAAGACAACAGGAATAACAGAGGAAAAATAAAAACGGGAAAATCATTTTAAAATTGTGTATTTTGCACTTGTACGTGGGTAGCAAATTAATTGAACGAAAACACTCAGACTTTAAAATGAAATACATTAGACATCATGCATATTATATTTAGCTACAAGTATACACAACAGCAAATAAAACAACTAATATTGTGTAACAGTACATCACCCTATACTAAAATAACAATTTTGTGTGTAATATATAATGTCTACGTGTGCCCTTTTGTGAGGCCTTGCCAATAGAAAAACTTTTTTTTTTAATTTGATATAAAAAGTATCGAATTGAAATTCTCGGATTTATTTATGTGAATTTTTACGAAAATAAATTATGACCACTGCCAATTGTTCAATGTCTTCATATCTTCATTGTAGTTTCATAACTCCATGTTTAAGTATACAAATGTATGACGTCAGGTGCATTGTCTTACCTCTGGCGCGATATTCGGTGAAATGAAACACACGAACACTATTTGATTGCTGATGGTTATTTACCATTTATATTCATCAGTAGATTATATTTAGAACCAAACAACAAATGTCGTGTTTGATGATTAAACATATAACGAAGGTGAAAAAAATAATGTAAAGAAAAAAATGGCTAAGTGTGGCCGTTTTGTCTTTGATTAAATATTTCTTCAATTTTTTCGAATCCCGGGTTATGTAATTCATGATATATACAAATGTCTTGATTATATCTTTTTTTTCCGTATCAAACGAAATTAAATGTGCTTCCATGACTATTTAAGTGCTTAAAAGGTAACGTGACTTCGATAATTTTGTAATTAGATTGGTCTTATACTCACGAACATGATTCATACTTAATTTTTCATTAGTTTGATATCCGGTTTATTCCATGACCAATGTTACTTATGACGAGCAACTGTCTGTACTAAACTCACGTTTTCACTTCTCCTACCAGGCTAAATTTCAGTGTTAGATATTGTGTTATAATGCAGCACTAAACAGTCCAAATGGACGAAATTGACAAACGTTGCGGCATTAAAATGTTACTTTGAGTGACTTTTTGATCGACAGTTTAAATTTTTAAGTAGGTGCTTCCTTTTTTATGTTTCTAGCGATATATGTATAATTTCCAATCCCCCAATTTACATAGACAATGTCTTTCGTGAGATTTGACATGTGGTTATGTAATTAAGAATCACGTGTGTCACTTAATAAATGCATTATTTCCGAACGCTTTTATAAGTTCAGTAACAAAAACAGGTCAAAAGTACATAATACGCTTCAATCATTCTAAAATATTCATCCAAACTGTTGACACATATTTTGATATATATCACATATACCTATTGATCACAAATATTTCCTCGTAGCTGGGCGGTCTAAACAATCATCCTCCTTAACCAAGGGAAAATATTATGATTGATGTGGTCAGGGACACATAGATACATTGTATTACTAAGTGATTTGGAATTATTGATGGTGTTGGCGAAGTGGAACAATAATGTGAAACGTTGGAAAAGCTTCGCTCGAATATGTCATTGCAATCAAAGAAGTACTTTAAATAACTGAAGCGTTCAATTACCTTTACGTCTGCGCTTATTACCCATTTTTATTGAAAAATCATACATCATACGATTCGTTCTTATAGAGAGTGTCTAACATGAGTTTCAATTTCTTATGAGACAATTAAAACGCACATAAGAAACTGTGAAAAGTTTCATGACTCTCATGAAAGGGACACGTATGATCCTGTTTATCTAACAACCAAAATTGGCTGTAAGTATTCGTCGAATATACACTTTACTAGGCTGACGTTAACTAAGAATCATTAACATCTTGATATGAAATCTTCCATGCCTATGACGTTACAATGCAATTTGTTGTATAAGGCGACCTTAGCAGAGGAATCACTATTCAAATAATTCAAACCTACAGCTAATACAGCTCCGATACGTGGTATTAAACGTGTTTCCATAACACAATCTGCAATTGATATAATTACTCTGATAACAGGGTGTCATCTACGTATTGTAGATATGTCTTCAGATATACAAGATGAAACATACATCAACACCAGTAAATCTGTTGCATAAACAAACACAATTCACATCTGACACACATATACGAATAAACCCTAAACACACATACGCACGAGTGAGTATAATCTTATGTCACGTTTACACGTTAATAACCTTAAATTTCCTATAACACGATTAAAACGTTTGAACATTTATGTACAATTATTACTACTGAATAGCACAAAAGGAGAATTTGATGAACATTAAAGATAACCAAATAAACACATATACAACATAATGACATTTGATGTGTGGTATAACCTTATTACTTATTAGTACTGATACAGTCCATCTGTGTATGCATATCATGCTTTCTGAAAATAATATTTATCTTTTTCCCATATCAACATTTAATTGCTTTCCGCAACTTGAATCAAAGAAACAAATGGCGGTTAAACGAAGCCAAGGAATGAATACTGACGTCACGTTACTACAGTCTGAAATAGCGCAAGAATTATTCGGAACCCATTGTCGTTTCCCATCTTATATAAGATTACAAACTACAAGTTCCAGTCACAAATGAGCTCTGCGAACAATGGTTAGACATCTAGTGACGTCACAGTGTCACCCGCAGAACCTTATATTGCGTTTCATTCTATTGATAAATAATAACAACCTGATATACACATACTGAAGTAGATGTATACACATTAGTATAATCTTATACACACGAGCATAAATGTATAGCATAGTTAACATTTCACTCGTGTATAGCCTTATCCAGACCCAGAGATGCATACTTCTGTATTATCAAGTTAATATACAAACCCTGTTCGTTGGTACATAGTGTATATCCGCTGACGGCATGTGTGTACTCTTCTAAAACCCGACCTCCTTCACAAATGAGAAATAAGTTATTATTTATATAATCACTGATAAATATGTATTCCTAGGTGACCTAAATTGATAGATAGTACTATCTGTATAGACTCATAGATAATACGAAATGTTCGTTTAATACATTAACAATTGAGATAGACATTAATCATATGATTCGTAAATATACGATTATATTAAACCTCACTGTGATTTATTTGTAACACATATTACATTATGATATAACAGTGTATAAACATACTCAATTATACGATATAACATGCACGTGCTCATAATACTTCGCTGAAAATTGTGCCTGTTCTGTAGTATTAAAATTGTATGGCAATTGAGCTGTTCGAAATACGGACTCATAACAAACAAACCATACACCCACACATCTACGGTTACTCAACCTAGTGTGCTGGTTCTCCTAATATAAGAGAAATTCACACAACAGAACAGGGACAGGGAAAACCATAACCATAGCTTAAATCATACACACGCGTAAATGTATGCACACAATTACAAATATGAATACTATGATGCATGTAGTGTAAAATACAATCGATCGTTATAGGTACAATACCCATATCATACATTATCATATCATATTTTATCAAGCTAATATACTAATCGTGTTCACTGATACAATGTTTAGTTAAAACATGCACTTGCTGTGTACATTTCTAGAACCCGACGTCATTTGTCAACTGGCAGCTTTTTATAGATGATAGTTGCCATGCCATATATTTACAGCTGAACGGCTAAAATCGCCAGAAATTAAATTTATTCTGTGTTGATGTGCATTTGATGTTAAACATTCTACAGCGTATAAACCCTGTGAATGTTTTGCCCTTCTGATATCAATATTGCTGAGTTGTAGACATCACAATAATCATTAAAAAGTTAAAAAAAAAAAAAAAAAAAAAAAAAATCTAATTTTTTGCTGATGCAGAAAGTCAAAGTAAACTTTTACCGCATTTTACGGCCTTTCGTCCATTTAAGAAAGATTTACTACCATAGATCAAAGGAGGAAAAATCCAGTTCCTAAGTATTTCGGATCACATGCAGAAATGTAGCAAAAAGCGTTAAGTGCCAACAAAGAACCCAAATATTTGCCTAAAAAACCAAGACCGCAGAAAACTTGAGCTCGGAATAAATGTTAAGTATATGAAAGAACATCACTAGGTACAATAAATCTCATTTCAGACGCATTTATATCTTTTGATATTACGAATTTTGTATTTTATAACAGATTACAATATTACATCAAGTGAAGCAGTTGAGCACTCCATGCACAGTTCAATGTGAAACACCTATTCCTTTTAAGGCTTTATTTGACAACATGTCGTATCTACTAAATATTCTAATTATTACCTGTCTGTAATTGTGTAGTAGTATTATTGAAGACTCTGGGCTAAACAGATAAATACCCGAGGGTGAATGATCTACAAAATACATACTTGACTACAACTATCTCCGTTCTAATGAAATATAGGTGACAGTCGTATAAGGAGATATCTCACACAGACAAATATATTTGTCAAATAAAATTCTCAACAAATTTCTCAATTGTTAGGTCGGCAATCGATCGGGTATTTGAATTCACTTAAACCATAAATCTTATGAACGCCAAACGTATAATCATAATATTTATGTTGGACTTAAGCGGTCAATGTTCTCACGTATGTGTGTCTATGTAGGGGTTATTGTCCTTTGGTCGTGTAGGAAAGCCTCAGTACAAGCCCAGTGCTACACTACTGCTTTATATCACATGTAGTGTCGTTGACCTTTGGTCAGTTACAGTAAAATAGGTGATCACAGTATTTGTACATCTGTGTCCACATGTTAAAGTCTGGTTAGCTTAAGGACAATCTAACCTAAAAATGTTTTATCAAGAATATGGTAAATATATTGAATCTTAAATCTATATCTGTGTTAATGCAGATTCAAAACGGGCACCAACAGAAAGGAAATACAGAAATATTTAAAAATTTGTAAATAGTAAACAGATATACATTTTGTTAAAGACTGGTTAAGATAATCAGTTATCGAATTATATAGAGACGGTAGAGTAAAGAGAACTGTATTTACGAGTTCGGGATTATTCGGCATGGGGTACCCCCCTGTAAACAGCTTTTCTGTTACCCAGCAAACATACGTAACCCCTCTAACACGCTTTAAAACTCAATTATCAATACTGTAATGTGGGATTTATCTCCGTGACTGTTTTATCCAGATTTCTGATGTATAGCACATACTAAAGTCGTAAATATTGAGTAAGTCTGAAGTTTGATACTTAAAAGGTGAAGTGCACATCCATCTTTAAGACGTGCACAAAGGAAGACAGACAAAAGTCCTTTATCTTATGAGTGCAATACACAGCGTGCACTTTGATGTCTATAGATGCAATAAATGTAAAAGATCACCCTCCTTATATTATAGGAATTACAAGTTCTACAGAAATAATAAAACGCATATTAGAAAAATTATAAGAGAATTATACCTGATAAAATTATATATTACATCTATCGATTAAATAAATGCAAAGTCATCCTACAATGAAATTTGAATTGTAAAACAAGCTTGATGTAAGGCTTGGTTATAAGTGACTTGAAACGTGGCAATATTAATTGCAGAATGTCATCAGAGGATCAATTTATCGATCCCATAGTTATCGAAATTGAACACAATTTGAAAGCCTTTTTTATTTGATGTTATTTGAAAGAAAATATTTCGCACAAAAAGAAAGTGGATTAAGAATTCATCAAAGAAAAGAGTCTCTCCCAGGGTTTCAATCACATTATGAATGAAAATATTTCAACTGCTTCGGTTACCATAAAATCATATTGTGTGAGAAATATTATAAGAATTTGACCCTGTATGATTTGGACCTTATTACAATGTATATGACAACTTAACACTGACGATAAGTCTTTATTCTTGAGTATTGATCATCTAGCATAGAAAAGAAATTTGCTCAGAGTAGAAAACGAAATGAGAAAAATAAATAAATAACAACTGATATTTGCAAAACAATTTGTTTTGTTGTGTTTATTTTTAATTTCTTTTTTTCTGAGATGTCATCAAACAAACAAAGAGTTCTTTAAAGCGTATGAGCATTCCGTTCATGTCTATTGAATCTGTATTACTACTTTGCACAGAACATAGCTATTTGATTGTAATTATGGAGTAATGGAGAATTCGATGAAAGCAAACTTATTTACTTACAAAATATCTACCAACCCACAAACAAACTGATAGACTGATATACTGCAGGGCACTTGCATTTCATGATTTAAAACTTACACAGCTTAATTATTTCAATCAATTCACCGATTTTATCTTATTATTATGTAAATAAATCGATAATATATCCTCATGACATCAGACACCGTTCTACGTAGTTTTTATTTTATTTTTATACACTATCAGCATCCAACATTTTTATATCAAAATCAAACGTCTCCTTCAATTTATTTTAAATATAGTATTTAAGGTGAAGGATACTTCTGCATCAGCTTAAATGGCGAGGAAGTGTTCCATCTTTGACTTGGGGTTTTCTCCTTTATACATAGGAGATGAAGCAACAAAAAAAAAGCAGTTTTTGTAGCTCAGAGTTACTTCTCTGTCAACTTGTTCATCTCCTGTTGTGATGAAATGTATCGATAACTCCCGGATGGCAACATTAGCAATGTGACAAACTGACGGTGTTAAGTACAGAAATGTATATGATAGGTTTTTCCAAATAATCCAATTTGAAACAACTACGATACTGAAGAATGCTAAACGTAGGGTGATTTATATGGAACGCATTCATAAAAAACTGACTGAAATCAAGGATTTATTTTTATCCTGAAATAATACTTTATCTTAAACTATAATAGTCGTGAGCTGTACGAGGTACTTATCACATTATAGATCCAATATAAAACGTCAAGAGGACTATGTCATGTTGCATTCCAATGTTAAATCACAACATTCTACACTGATATGATAAAGGAGACCCAGTCCAACAACTAGAAAAAATATCAAATTACTTCATATTTGTTTCCTCCTGCAAGTAGGAATTGCCAACATAGTATGAATGAACAAAACATTACAAACGTCTGTATGACTATCAAATGTTTAAAACAATTTTAAATTTAAGATTCCTTTAATGTTGTGATCAGTATGCACATTGGCCAAGTACAGCACTTGAACAATAGATAAAATCCGAGGGGTCTGTTATACGCTTAGGATCCCAGCATTCCTTGCCGAGCAGGTGGGCTGAGGTGAGAGGCTGATGAGTTGATACACAGCTGTATTTATCGGTGACATGCAGTGACACTGCTGGATGATTGACAGGCAAACGACACCTTTGGCCACGATTGTCAAAATAGAAGAGCAATGCAAATGATAAAAGAAATAGCCATGCGGAGCGACATTTATCCAGATAATGCACTCTGTTTGATAAGTTATCAAATGGTAACTGGCGCCTTAAGATATCAAAGAGCTTGTAGTGCCTTTGTAATATTATGAAATTTGTTAATCCACTATCATTTTAATAATAATACAGGTTATTGCAAATATTGATTCACCCATGTTTTGCATATTGTGTAAATAATTCCCACTCTGCCTCACAAGAGTGGCAGCATATACTTTATTGCCCATATGTTTACCTTCATTTTAAATATCTATCTAGTATGAATGACGTTTATCCGCGTTATATGCATGTGTCCCGTTTCCTTAAGCTTATTCATTTTTTTTCTGATTTTGCGCATGTGTTTATGCTATGGCATTTCATATTCTATGTACTTGTAACTCCAACTAAATGCTATACCATTTTAAGGTTGTTTATTTGGGAGCTCTTGATACATAGATGCCTTCTATGTTGATATTGAACTACTGCTTTTAGTCCATACTACAAACCAAACGTTAGATTCAATCATTTATATATTTGAAATACAGAATAATGGCGTATTGTTACTAAAATATAAAACAAACAAAAAATCTCGAAAATCCACATAAAAGCCAAATA